GGTATTTTCTAGGGATACAAGACACCAAAATTCAGGCTCTGAGTATTGTTCTCAGATATGTTGCTTGTAGGATCTATGGCAGCCTCTTACAAATATGTATGTATTTTCAATTTAAAATAACTTCATTTCATTTTGATGCACATTGAAGATGTATTTTGAAATCCATCCAGGTTTCAAGAAATGACATCCCTTTTAATTTAAACTTTCCTGAGGTATTTTACTTCTCTCCCTTAAGTATTGCACCACTGTAAGAAAAAAAAAATAAAAAAATTCCTGAAAGAAATAGGAATATCAATGTTTCTAAAATACTTTGTATATGCAATTGCCTTTAAGAAATCCCTGCTAAATAAGCCTATGAAAGGAGCTAGGAGTTCTGTTGCTGTCATGTTCCTGTTGCCATGAAAGGTGACAAATTGTAATACTTTTTGAAGGCATCTATACACATTTACTTTTATTTAGATACTGTAATATTCAGTGACTGGTAGCTTAGTAGCTGTAATTTTGTTCTTAATGACTGTCCAGCAATTATATGTCTATTTATAATTTATTTTGCATAGTGAGAGTTCACCTATCTATTATTGAGAATATTTTTAATAAAACCATGGAGAAAAAAGGAATGAATAAAGAGGAGAGTCTTTTCCTTTCATTAAGAGTGCAAGCTGTACTGTACAACAAGTCATTGATCTTCCTCATTTAAATCATCACTGGAACCTTTGTGGAGATCTTCAATCTTCTTTGGTACAACTTTGCTACTGACACAGTCCATACCTGTGAGGTCATTCTCACTACTTATCCATGCTTTGTTATGCCATGGGCCAGGTGGAGTATCATTCCCCAGGCTTTGGGACTGCTTTGGATGATTCAGATTGCCTTTGGCATCAGTTGTCTGGCCAATGCTCCAGTGAGGATATTATCTCCAAATTCCTGCTTGAGAGTTTGCACACAGTGCCTTTTGGAAAAGATAGTCTATACGTGGGGAAGCTGGCTGGAAAATGCTCAACCCTAGCTGGCACTGAAATGTTGGTAACTAAATTCACTAAAATTGCTTGTTGCACTTTTAGGGACAGACAGCATATGAATTTTTTAATTGCTGGAAGAAATCTGGTTACCGTGTGATTTTCCAGGCTCAGATCTGTTAATAACTATACTCTCTGAGTGCGATTTAAGTCTCTCAGGTTTCCCACCACTAAAACTACTGTGCAGACTTTGTTCACTCTCTTTTTGCATACTTACTACAGTGCTGTATTGCACTTTACTGACTGACGTAAACAGTCTAGGACTAGTTCACACCCACATTCCATATATTAGACAAGATAAAGTTATCTGTCGAAGTAGGAGTACAAAGAAATTTGTCTTGAGAAATGATGTCTGATTCGTCCTCACCAGCTGAAACATTGAGTGTGTAGAGAACAAATTTCAGAGGAAATGGAGAACATTTGTTGCACAAATTTCCTTTATCACCAATCCTCAGCAATGAATTCAAATGTTTTCTCCATTGTTGGGTACTGTGCCCAGCTTTATGCTTTTGAGATCAAATCCTGCACTCGCTCTTCAGCTGTTTCTCTCAGATCTTTTATGGTATTTTCCAGGTTATCACAAAAAGTGCATCTGTTCTGTTTCTTCCTGCACCACCAAGGAGGGCTAATTGTAGGACATGTTCCACAAGTCCTGCAAATATCATATTAACTGTTCAATTCACAGAAACACAGACAGACAGCTGGAGGATGGTTTCAGCAGGATACACATTTTGTTTTTGCTCTGCAGCTAAAGTTACCACGTTTTTTTTTCCTCATAGTTCTTCCACATTGCAAGCTCTCAGAGAACAAGATCTACATGGGCATGACATTACTTGTCTGATCTCTAATTCTCTGATTTAAGCAACAGTTTCAAGATGAATTCCTGTCTGCTCAGATGAAGCACACCTCTCCTAAGATCATAGTGACACCTTTCCATCCACTGATGTCTGAAACTATCAAAACTTCTGTTGGGACAACTGGTCACAACATTTCTATGAAGACAAGTTAATAATTAATACAGTTTCTCCTTCAAAAGAGTGTATGCTTGCTTCTTGGTAAGCTTTCAGTAGCTATATACAACCTACCAGAAGTATTTTCTGAGGTAGATGGCTAGCTAACAAATAGAAAGAACCTGTTCAACTAACAAACTGAGCATATCCAGGTATACTTAAGAACAGCAAAGGTACTCATCAACTTCTCAGTACCTATGAAGTCTATGTATTTAAAATATGCTTGAGTTAAATTGTGCTGGAAAGTTTTATATTACATCTCTCCATGACAGCACCTACTGACTGCCCTTGATCTGATAGTAAATACATTTACATCTTTGAATTCCAATATTGTTATTCATTGCCTCTTTGATGATCACGTATACTATTTTTTTCCCCAAGAAGTGTTAGAAAACCAGTCTTAACCAAGAATTCTTCATTTATTTCTTCGTTTTTTCAATTTTTGATAGATCTGAATAAATAAATAGCAAATAATTAAAAGACTAACTTTTACACTGTGGATTTGCAAACGTGTAGAAGTTCACATGCACAAACAGCATATCAAGGTAGTTTCAAAGAGCTGAGGGGCTGTTTTGGTACATGAGCAAGGAAGTATCCAAACCGGGCTCTGCAAGCATGGCAATGCTTTCAGTACTTCACCTGACTCCATGTCCTTCACCAGGAGAAATGGTAATTGTATCCTGCTGCTCTTCAGAGCATTAGCCAGGGGTCTTTCTTGCTGTAACCTAGGGAATGGAGGCTGAAAACAGAGATACATCTTTTCTGCATATTGTCTCCTCAAGTCTGTCAGCACAATCACAAGCCAGTACACTATACACACGGCAGACAACGTATGGTGACAGTACCAGCTCTCCGAGGCTGATTCTAGCTTGTAGATAAAAAGGCCTGCATCAGCCTCTTTAGTTTGAAATCTGCTGCATCAGAGTCAAATAAGCTCCACATTGCCTCTTAAAGACTGAACGATAAATCGCAACAAAATGTGCTTTGGTAAATGGATTTCTTTCAGCAGGTGACTACATAAACTAAATCTTGGCACTAGAACTTCAAGTGAGTGAAGTATTGTGGTTGATGGTCTTAAATCTTTCTTCTGCTAACACTGTGCAGGAAAGACTGCGACTGAAATAGGTATAATTAGTGAACCGTGATTGAATTGTCATCATCAAGAAGACAACAACTCTTTCACAGTTTCTACTTTGATGTCATCTCTCATCTGTAAAGCTGTTCTACTCAAAACCACTTGAAGGTATTTTTCTTTTGAATTGGCTGCTTTAGACTGTCTTTAGTGCTAGATTATCACTGTCGGGTTTATCACAAGCTGTCTGGATACAGGATGATTTCTCTTTTCATGATAAAACATAGCACTCCTCTAAATTCAGCTTCCAGCTCACGATGAAGGTGTTTCGCAGCTGAGTCTTCTGTTGCTGGTTTCCAAATATCCAGAATCTGGATCAACAATCTCACAATCTTCTGTGTCGCTATTTTTGTTTTATTTACACTTCACAGTAACAACTTGGGTGATAATGACTTGATACAGTTACTGTCTCTCTGCTGACAAGAGCAAAGATCTGTCATCATCTTCTATCTAGTAGCATTTTGCACTTTTGAATCTGCATGAAGTGTATTACACTTAACCAGCACTTCGCAGGGCCCCAGTCCTTTTTTTTTTCCTGAAAAAGACACTATTTACCTTATATGTTTTTCCTCCACTTGGAGCTTTCCTTGGTGACTTCCAAAGTGTCTTCTGGATCAGGGAACACTATTTCATTCTTTTGATGTAATAATTAATATGCAAACAATTTTCCTCATAACCATGCTGCAGAATTGCTGATAACATATGTGGGACTTCGCCAGCATATAAGTGTCTGTCATAACCACGTCTTGAATACTGAAGAAAACTGTTCCATGATTTTATGCCTTAAAATGATTTTAGATTGTCAGTTGGGTTCTGCAACATTTTGAATTACACATTGTGCATGCTTAAAAAGGTGTTGACTGGTACCTTCTTATTTTCTAGTCCTCCCCACTTTTGCTTCAGAACTACAATGAAAACTGTGTGCATTTGTGCATTATGAACAAAAATTCAGCAGCATTTAAGAAGTAGAAGCATTTGTAGCAGACACACAGAATGACTGATACTCTGGTACCCAATTCTCATTTCAGCAATCATGCTGGGAAAGCTACTCACTCAGAAAAATGACATCATATGAAAAAAGGTACAGAAAGCCATATCCACATCATTCTCAGATTTTGTCCCCCTTTAATACAACCCAGCCTGGCTGATAGATAAAATGGCTAGATTCTGAGTGGATATATGGATTAGAAGCACATAGTTAATAGGATAAACCTCCTGTTTGCCTTTGCATCTGTGTAAAATCCCTCAATGTTTTTCCCACTGAGCACTTTTAAAATAAAGCTCTGACATCTAATTAGTTATTTTCTTTTTAGACATCATCTTTTGTCTTTGAGTATTCCATTGTCCCTGTGAAATGCAAGAAGTCTTGCAGATCTAGGAGCTTAGTGAACGAAGAAAATAATTAAATGGGGTCACCATGTTGATGTTTTGTAGCATGACACAGAACTAACACCCACTTCTTGTTTTTTTAAGTACTAAAAAATCCTCAACATAATTAGTTTCTTTAATCTGGTAAGCAAAGATACCTCCTCTTTCTCTAATGCTTTCTTGTAAATGCAACACCTTGAAGATCAGAAATGCTTGGTGAGGAATTGTATTAGGACAGCTAATTGAAAAAATTAAGACAACCTGGAATCTGTCCATCTGTCTGCTGCTAGCAGGGGTTTGCATGTAAGACTTCTTGCAGTGGCACCTCTGCATCATTCACTTGTGCGTAAAACAAAATGCCATCAAATGACAGTGAATTTGGGTAATCTAATACACTGTCTCTATAATTTAGTATGATATAAGCTGCTAAGCATTGAAAGGAGGAAAGAGCTGTCTGGGTTAGGACATGGAAAAGCCTGAAGGCAAATTTGCATGAGGTTTCCACATAATTCTATAAAACCGGCATTAGACATCACACACACTCATGAAGTGAAGTCTCTGTTTTAATTTCAAGTCTCAGCACTTCAGGAGGGATGGTCATCAGGTAAAAGACAGAAAGCTGCTTGGTGCAGCTCCCTTCACCCTAAAAGCTGAGCTCTGGTGCTCCCATCACCTCTTCCTTCTTCCCTTCCTTTGATTACTTCAGTCCAGCTTTTGTCCTTTTTCTTCCAATGTTCCCTTTCACAGGCCAATTTTATGGCAGAGGGCTGGAGGAAGAAGATGAACTGATGGATGAGGGAAAGCTCTTTGTGCAGTCAACCAGGTGTCTTCTCCACATTAGACAAGTCATAGGACAGCAAAGGCATCCAGTGTACAGAGGAGAGGAGCAGGCAGTGCAGGGGCTGAATCCCAGAGCACCATCTGACAGCTGGGCAGAGAGGAGGAAGTCCTGCTGCAGGGCTGGGGATTTGGCAAATCAAGTGAAAAAAGGCTAAGAGTTTTTCTGTGCACTACATACATCTGTGAGAGGGACACAGCCAGTACCTTTAAATGTACCTGTAATGTTATGATAAGCATTTATCAACTCCATCAGCATTCATCGGTTGTGACTAAAACCTGGATGGTTGAGAATAAATATTTCACCCCCCCTTCCCTCCTGGCCAGGAGAATTTGATACGTAATCTAAAATTCCACTACAAGCATCCAAATTTAATATGAATTTCCATTATTAATGACATTGAGTTTTTCCTCTCCTACAGGATGAAATTCATCTCCCCCCAGAAACCCCCAAATCCCAAATTTGTTCACACATTCAATGCCAAGAAAACACAGATTATGGTTAAGAGGCTGGAATATAGCTTGCAATGCCATTAAAGCACCGAACTGAGCGCAGCAGTATTACAGCTTGAGATGAGGCTACTGATTCAAACACAGTGTTAATACAGAGCTTCAAAAGCACACATCTGCAAAATCCAAAATCCACAGCTGACCTTTGCTCACACCAAACCCATTCTTCCTACTGATCCACATAGATGTCTCACAGTAAAGGTCATGGTAGAGGAACAGGGACAAAGCCAGTTTCTTAGACCTCCAAAGTAAAAGAAAGGAGAAGTAACACTTAGTTAAAAAAAATAAAGAATATCAGCAAACGTTTCCTACCTCTAGACACTCGCCAACCACTGTGCCCTCTGCTTCTCCACCCCATGCCTTCCCCTGGGGACACGGTGCCAAGCATTGCCTCAGTAATGGAGACTCAGCATCTCCCTGGGAACTGCTTCTGTGCAGGCGCCCACCCCATCACGTTTGGGAGCCACAGAACTACTGCAACATGGAAGGATGGGTATGAAATAACAGATTCCTCCTGCTGCTCTGGTGACTGTCACATTTCACACCATACCTCTCTCCTTTTCACAGGCACTCTGGCTGGATTAAATGGATTAAGAACCGATTGACAAATATGAATGGAGTTGCAAGTTGATATGGAAAAAGGTTTTTACTGTTTATTTCTCTATGAATGAATCATGAACAGAGATTTCTTCAAGTGCATCAGAAATTAATTCCTAGAGACTCCTCGGGCTGACAAACTGAAGACCCAAATTTTGCAAGAAAAAGAATATTTCTATTTATTTGAGAATCTCTCGCTTCAAACCCTTATTTCTGAGTGCAGTACTCACTATGTAGTTTATTCCCATAAAACAACATAACATTACAATCCATCTCAAGTTAAAGGATTTACTTACATTAGAAGACTTTAGATTTGGCAGGATGTCTTTGCTGTATCAAATGACTGCATCTGATCAAGTCTCCCCAGTGTAGCTCTGCACACTTTAGGTGGTCTAAATGTGAGAAGAATTGATGCTGAGGAATTTGCTAGGGTTATTTTGGTAGTGGTGGTGATGGCATTCTTTTAATTTTATTTTATTTTACAATACCAGGCTGCTGTTCCAAAATTTGGAAATGGTGTCTTATGTTATTCATAAATTGACAGTAGAACTTACATACACAGGTATATACATGCACATATATAGAGAGATGTGTAAAATTCAGATCTAATTTTAGATTTAAAGCACCTTGCAAATTTGTCTTTTTTTGTGTGTGTCTGATGTCATGTTTAGGCTGGCTATTCACTATAAATACATTTCAGCATGAAATTTTCCCATTTGCCTCACATGGATAATGTATTTCAATGTATAGCTAGAAATAAAAATAAAAAGGTTGTACATATAGACTTCTGAAACAAAGAACAAAATCTTGGAAACATTATTTTTCTGATCTTCCAAGAATATTAGGTTTATCACTGTTGTATATGCGACTCCATTCAGCTGTTGTCTGTCACTATCCTCATGCCTTTCCCCAGTAATGTTAGAATATGTTACCTACTGTCAGCCTAATCTGTCAAAAGTCTTTAAGACTGTGCAACAGTGAAAACTGTGGAGTAAAGGAGCCATCATCAGATAAAGCAAACTCTCCTCTTTTCTGTGCCATTTGGCCTCCAAGAGGCAACAATAAGCAAAACAAAGGGTAATACCCCTAAAGGCAAAGCATGCTTTGAACTTGATGGTCCTTTGAGCGGCAAGAGAAGAAAACAAAAAAAGGAGGAGGAGACCTGGAGGTAACTGTGGACACTATGCATGCCTGGCCACAGAGCTCAACAATACAGTCCATCTTTGAGCTCCCTAGTTCTAGCATCTCCAGGCTTCATTGACCTCGAAGTCTGCTCCAGGCTATTTTAGTCCTGATTAGAAACCAGCACGTTTGACAGCTTCACAAGAAATCCTTTTGTGAGGCTTCCAGTTGATACAGTAGCCATGAAAAACTGAATTAATTCAGTAGCAACTACAAATGGTATGAGTCTGAACTGCTGCTGTGCTTAGGCTGAAGAAAGATAGGAACCTGATTAGTGCTTGCCTCCAACTGCACTCATGAGCACTTGCCACTTTCCTGGACCTATAAAGCTGAAAACCAGAACAGATGCCAAATCTGGAGTATTGCAGATTAGTACATGATATCCAGCTGGAATTACCTGAATAGATATCATTTGAAGTTTGCTCAAACTGGTTAGGCATTTTGGAAGAATCAAATCATAGCAAGGACAAAGCATTGGTGTTGAATGAGACCCTCATGCAGTCTGTTCTGAAAAACTGAAGATACTGATCAGTGAATGCATACTGAATTGTATCTTGAGAAGGGATGAATCTATACATGTCTCTCTTCCATATGGTGCCACACGGGAGGGAATTAAAAGTGCACAGTGCAAGTAGGCTGCTACATAATCTGGAGTATGATGCATCATATGGATCAACAATTCCTTGAAGAGGCCAGTTCAGGTTCTGAATTTATGGAATTAGTCTACAGCAAGTCCAACTTGGACACTCAGGGCTCTGTCACATTACTCTAAGAAACGAGTGCTCAAAGGCAATTCTAGCATAGCAGCTAGTGCCATAGAGAGTAGTAAACCCTCATCCTCACTTTCTTCCTAGTAACAAGCCTGCGTAGTTATACCCTTAATGTTCTTTAGATAGAGTAAGCCACGATGCAATTAGGATGTCCATATGGAGAGTCAGTGCAGCATAGCTAGTACACTATAAATTCATATCCTTGCTTACTGAGAATTAATTATCTCGTAGACAAGCCATGTGTTAGTGAAATCCATTTATTACATTATAGGATGTATGGTCTTCTAGGGAGGCTGGCCCAAAAGAGATAGGGAATTGAAGCTATGATTGGCAAAGCAAAAGCATTGGTAGGAAATGTAGTTTTATGCCAAGTCAGTTGATTTAAAACAATCTGGCTCAGTTTTCAACACCCCTCCCCCATACCCTAATTTGGGTCAAACAAAGCCAAACTGAAATGCATTGGTTTGGATTTCTATGGGAAAAACGATAAACTTTAAAAAAAAAAAAAAAAAGAGGAAATCAATATTGGTTTTGCATGGAATTTGTTCATTTGCTTTTATGGAAATTACTTCTTGGTCAAAATAATATTTCTATGGGAATTTTTCATTTATTTCCACAAACTTATTTGTCCAAACCTTTTTCTGGTCTATGTTCACACAAGTCAATGATGTTGAACCAGAACAAATAATCCTCTTACAGAACTTGTTTTGCTGGAATGGCAGCCTTTTTTCCTCCTTGTAATCAAAATATCACTGGAAGTAAGTCTATGTTGCCCCTGTGCCTATATAACAAAGTCTTAAGATTGTGATTTGAAAACTAGGTTAGTGGATTGACCAAGACATTGATAAAAAAAAAAAAAAAAAAAAAAAGGGGAAATACTATTGGAAGAAAAAAAAAATCCATACTTGAAATTTCAGTGAGGCTGCTCTTTATGCAGTCACGCTTGGTTATGGTTAACAAACCTTTGAGATGGAGATTGGGTTGTATGCCTCATAACTTCATTTCATGTGACTTGAAAAACATATGCATGTGTCATGGCACCTCGTTGTTCCTCTGATGATTTATCGTATCTTTGTGGGATGGTTTGTTTCACACTATGAAATGTAAATTTATCTTGCAGTGCTCCTGTTGCCTGTATAAAGGTTAAGAAGATATATAGATATACATTTAATGCTATACTTGCTACTTTTAGAACATAATTTGAATGATTATTCTAGCACCATAAAAGCTTTTCAATATCTACATTTTCTAATCTTAGGTATTTTGTTTTAAATGCCTTTTTTAAAAGGCTTTGCAGGTCAGATTATATAATTACTGACTGGTTGCTGACAGACTAACTCACAGAATATGGTTGATGCCAAGAAATTGAAGTTCCCCACACTGCAAACATTCAAATGTTGCTTTAGGGCATCTTAAAGGGAATACTGCAAATACTCTTCCCTAGAAACAAAAATAACCTCATATAAATTCAGGGTTGCAGGTACTGTTGACATTGAAAGGTTTATAATTCTTACGTGAGTAATCAGCTGAACTGTTGAAAGTACCTCAAGCTTTCTGTGTGTCAGTGAAACTCATACACAATGGAACAGTTGGCTGTTACCCTTGAGCCTCTCTTACAATTCAAGATTCGCCCATACAGATCACCATAATGAAACATAATTCCCAAAAACATGGAGATTCTCCGACATCACTGAGCATCTACTTGAGGTTCATCTCCTCTCTTATACATCTGGACAGTGAATACACATAAGACTTCAAATAAGCTTCTAGGCCTAACCTTCTTCTTACTATTATTCCTAAATAGCAACCCTGTTTCACAGAAGTGAAGGCTAATTCAGAAGAAAGCATGCAGTTCCCACTATCATTTATTTTCTTTTCTCATGCAAGTTATTGAACAGGTGATTTTGCTGACAATTGTATCTAAGATCTCACCTGTGTCAGTTGGGCACACCACAACCTTCTTGTTTGCTACAAAAACAGCAAGTGAAATTCCAGACGTTACACAAAAAAGGGGATTCAATACATCATTCAGTTGTACCACAGACTTAACCTGTGTGCAGGGTCCTCATATATCTGCTGGTAACTCACATTCAACTTTTTTCCACTCTATTCCTTATAGGCTCCTTGCTGATGAACAGGGTTGTTTTATTTGCTTTTTTTTCTTTTTTTTTTTTTTTTAGTTTTAGTTTTTTTTCATTTCCATTGCTCCAGAATGGGTTTCACACCAGCCTTGCTCTTTGTCTTCTCTACAGATAAAGGCAAAAACTGCTTACCACTTTCTCTCACAAGATGTCTACTGGTAGCTAGTATTAATTATGTATCTTTTTTTTTTATAGTCTTCTTTCCCTCTGACTCATTTTAACACTTATCAGCTTGAAATTATGGCTCTCGCAAAAACCTTGAGAATGCAGATAAAATTTCATTACTTCTAAAACTCTTTGCTTTCTAACTTGCAATAAAAATAGTATACATGACAATGTGAGCTAGGAGGGAAAGTGCATTTGCAGAGACTAGAGTATCTCTCTACTACTTGGGGTTGGCATTAACAGCGCTGAACTCAAATGCAAAACCTTGCCTTATCTTGTCTTAGTTTGCTATCATGCTTGTGACAGTCACCTTAGGCAACATTTTACCACTCAGAAGCATAAAACTGTACATCTACTGGCAATAATCAACATCAAGTGAAATCCAGTTCTACACCTTATTTTCAGCAGTTCTTAAGACTTTCACCAACCAATTTTACAGTTTGCCCAACCCCAAATAAAAGTCTCAGTCCACCTACACTGCAACTAGGATGAAATTAGGATTGCATTAAGAGGGAATCAAGCACACTTGTCAGCTGAGAGGAGGCAGACAGGAAAGGAGAAGACTAATTCTACATACCAGCTGATTTAGCAGCTGGAATGATGCTTCTTTGAAGCATACTAAGCTGTCTGACTTTGCAGTGGAACAAACAGGAGGAAGAGGAAAAATGCTCACAAAATTGGGCATTAATCCAAGCTGTGAAGGAAAAAGAGGTAGCCAAGTGCTTTGCTGCTATTGGTGCTCTCCTGGGAAGGCCAGGCCTCCTGGTGGCTTTCAAAGCAGAGATGGTTCCTGCAGAGGAAAAGCAGAGTGGTTTAGGTGGTCAGCAAATCTTAGCTCTCATTTGGACAGAAGCTTGGTCCTAATTAACAGTGTGAACATACATCAAGTTAGTTTTCAGCATCATTCTGCCTGATTAAAGGCTTCTATCCCCCACTTCTTACTAGTCTCTTCATTTTGTTTGAAATCAAGGCTTCCTAAATGAGCTTTATTTACATACAGTGGCTGTCATTTAGCTCACGTGCCAGGATATGACAAAGATATGCAACAAAAATGAAAACACTTTTAACTGTGAACTGAAAAAGAAAAAAAAAAAGAAAAAAAAAAACACAATTTTTTTTTAGAACAATCATTTAGCTAGTCTTAAAGCCTAAGTTCAGATAAGATAAATACATCCATCTAATTTTGCAGAATTTTGCCTCCTGTAAAAGCAGGTCAGCTAGAAGAGCTTAAACTGAGGAGAGTCTGAGTGTCTGATGTAAAGAACCACGTTTGCTTCTTTTTCTCCTGGCAGTGTAAATAATTTTTCAGAGAATAAACATAGGTATTCATTAGAACCAGTCCCTTCCAAAGGGTTGCTCCTTGGAAAAGTACCATGAGTGCACGACTATTAATTCAGATCAATATGTGACTCTAACAGAGAATGCGAAGCATACCTAACCCAACTAACTATGCCCCTGATAAATGTTGTGAGAGCACTGTGTCACCCGTGCCTTTCCTTTCTTTATTTCCATTATCCATCAGGACAGGCCATGAGGGAATGCCTGGGAACTGTGTCGTTCTCTGCAATAAGCCACAATGCTAATGAGGCATAACAAATTGAGGAAGTATCATGTATAATCCTGATCCCTCATTGACACTATTACCAGTATAGATTTCAATTCACCATTTGTTACATGCTTAATACAGACAAAGTGGGAGGGTGTAGAAGAATTACTCCTTCAGTCACTGCATTTTTTAAACAGTTGTCATCCTCCAAGTCAAAACTCTCTGGTAATACCCTCCGTTTTTGCTTCTGCTGTTTCTCAGCAGGATTTGCTGCTTATTCTTGTAGGGGGGTCAGCCAGACTTTGTCTTTCTCACAGTTTCAGTTTTCTACTGGGATTAAGGGTCTAGCATATTTCTGCAACAAAACAACGAACCCAAGATAAACAAATGTACTGAACAAGATGGCTTTGGTACGTGCCTGCATTTTAGGAGTCAACTGCAAAGTTTGTTTTTTTCATAAGGTGCTCCAGAAGGAAACCAAGGTGAACATATGATTTTAATGAGTTTTCATCAAAATGATGGCACATTTTGTAGTTTGGTGGGGTTTGAATTAAAATGCTAACTGTTTCTTCAGATGTGTTGTTTTAAGTCAAGCACTCTGTCATCCTTTTCAGAAATGGTATTTTGCACTACTTCGAAGGATCCCAGGCTGCCCTGCAGACAATGAATAATACTTCATTACATAGTTATGATGGAAAATGGTAAAGATTTATCAATGGATTGAAAACTGGAACAGGCTTTTTCTTTAAGCCACTTTATTTTTGACACTAGGAGCCCAATGGCAGGTTCTTCTAAACTACGGAGGGACTCCCACCAGGATGTTCATCCCCTGCAGCCTCCCTTGGGGGTCCTTCTGATGGTGGAAGTGGACAGGAGAAACATCCCACGCTCCTGAACACCTAGGTGTTCCTATGCTGATTTGTGCCCCTGCCATGACCAAAGGGATGCAAAGAACCACCTTCTTTCCCAAAGACACACTTGGATTGGGGTTACTCAAGCCAAGGGGACCCTAGCTGCCAGGAAATCCACTCCCGACCCAGAAGTCCAATAGAATAACCAATACCAGGTGCAACAACGTTCACTGTACTCAAACTGGTACTTCACTCACAGTTAAACCTTCAAACTGATGACTCCTCCCAAAAAGGTTAACCTCAGTTTTGGACTTTTATTAAAAGGCATTCACGCCAGTGCTACACCGATATTCATCTGGGTTTGAGTCTTACACCTCTACACAGTTAACTTAAGCGACACATTTAAGTGGCACATTTAAGCTGCTGCTTAATCAATAAATAAAGAACTTTCCAAAGTGAAGCAGAATTTTTTTCCATAGCACTGAATGGATTTTAAATTGTGAATAAGGTGAGACTTTCACACAGACCTGACAAAATAGAAGACTGATAACAGAACAAGGGTATTTGACAATGAGGTATAAAGTTATTATCACTATTTGATTAGGAAGATTTTTATTAGTCCCCTCTGATTGCTCCTCATAAATAGTGAGACAACCTAAAATCCCTATAACGATGGACACTGTGCATGAGTATTGTGATAGTCATAGTGAAGGCACTATGTAAGAGAAAGAATACTTGAAACATTTTATAAAACCAGACCTGATTAGGAATTGTGCACCAGATGTGCCTATGTTAAACTGTGTATAACTTTCAGGCTACACATTCATTGTGCTGAGCGCTTATAGCTTTGGGATGAAGAATTAGTTCCTGTTCCATTCAGTATTTTATTTTCTGGATAAATGCGGTGGTTTTAGAGAAAAGGTATTCATTTTGGCTCCAATATGACTATTTCCATAAAAATGTATTTGAAAGGTCTTTGATTTAAGTTCTTGACATGCTTTCAAATGATCAAGTGTCACAAAAAAGTGGTAACTTTTGATCTCATTAATAAGCTAACTGAACGATAGTTTAACTGTAGCATAGCATTTTCATGATTTAAATTTTTATCAGGCTATTTTAAACGGAAAGACTGATTAATTTTAATAGGATTTCTATCATAAATGGGAAAACTGTCCAAATTTTGTAACCAATACATTTTTCACTTAAACACTCTAAAGTGAAAATCTACTTAATCAGGTGACTGAAGCCAATATAGGGCAGATCTACAATGTTAGCTGCTGTCTCATTCATAGATTTCCCATACAATTCATTTTCAAGTGTTTATGGTAAAATGGAGATTTTTAGCATAAAATGGCTAAATTCAAATTATTTCTTTAGTTATATCAGCTATATACAATTATATTTGATATTCTGTTTGCAGAGAGAGACCTAAAGAAATCAGTTCAGGAAGGACAGCATCCTGTGGGTAGTTGTAGAAAAGGAGAAGAGAGTGACCATGAAGGAGAGGCACAGACAAGGCATTATAGACTGACTCCAACCCACATTTCCCTGTACTGCTTGAGAGGAGGAGGTAGAAGAGAGTGGGTGGGGGCAAGGTATTTTCAGATTGCTTTTAGTTCTCACTGCTCTATCAGTATGCAATAAATTATACTAATCTTTCTCACACTGAGTTTGTTTAACCCATGAATGGTAACTGGTGAGACATCCCCCTGTCCTTATCTCAACTCATGAGGTTTTTTTGTTTGTTTTCATTACATTTTATTCCACTGTCCTTCTGAGGCTTGGGAATGGGAGAGTGGCTTAGAGTACCATGTCATATTATTATCAACTTGGCTTTATTCACTTATTGATGATTATTGCTGCTTTCCTCCCTACTTCCATCTCCTTCTTCTTACTTCAGTGTTTTATTGTGAGAAATAACTAAAATTTACACTCTTCAGTATGATTCAATACTCATGTACCTAAATGAAATACATAATATTTTTTAAATTGATAAGAATGGTTTGTAGGTTTCATTGTGTTCTACGTTAAGACAACAATAGAATATTAATAACAAAACTTAAAAGGAAGGTAACAGATAGCTAGTATGTTTTGTTTTGTGAGACTATGAAGTTGATTAGCTTTTTATAATGATTTTTATTACTGACATCCTGTAGCAATAAATGATCAAATCTATTACACATAATTAACTATCATTTAGTATTGTATCCACTGTTTATAATTCAACAGATAATTTCCCATTCATTTATATAATGCATTAGACATTCTGTAACAGCAGTATCAGCATGTAAATACAGTTACGCCACATAGATAAGCTAAGTAGACTAGAAAACTAGGATTCTTCAGTTTATGGTAGAGTTTACATTGCACTCAACATTAAGCCACATAAATCATGTGCCTCGGTTTCCTCATCTGTGCTCTGAAAGTAACAAAGCCTGCCTTTCTGAACTGTTTAGATGGTCTTGCATGAAAGGCTCTAAGTACAAATTATTATCTGTTCTAGCTGCAGCTTTGCTAAATCTTTGCGAGTTAATAATGCAGTGTGAGTTGCTGAAAATTGAGAACATATTCTTGCTAGTAACAAAGGATTCCTGCTTTACCTCATCTCTGTTTTGTTATTCCAATAGAAACTATGAATATGCATCTTTGTTGCACTATTGCAAAAGGCACTGATTTGCCTCTTCTGGAAAAGCCATGGATCACACTTCAAAGTTAAATGAAGATAGCATTTTTCCTCCTTTATGGTTTTTGTTTTTTTTTTTTTAATGTGTTTGGGAAAACTGTGAGATCTAACATTAGCTCACAAGATTTCTGGGCATTAAATTCTATGGGGAACCAATACAAATAAAACCAGAGAAGCCAGAAGTTCTCTCCCATAAACTGTGGAGCTTCACACTGATGTTCCAAAACTTTAGCTATTTTAAACATGGATTACTACAGAAAAGTCAAAGGAAAAAGTATTCAAAATGAAAACTGTAAAGAGAAGACCAAATCATTATAGACTGCTCTACATATGGAGATATGCTAGTTGTGTTTATTTCATGCAAGAAGTCTGGATATCAAAAAAATGACTATACAAGTTTAACACTTAGACAATTCTTGTAAGCACACCAAACCTAATACAGACACACCCTGGAAAAGTAAGAAAAGACCACTAACTTGAGCTCCGAGATAGGGTGCTCACAGGAGAAGTACTAGACAAGAAGAAGCTATCACCTTCAGTAACAGACAGCCCAACTACTGACACATTTAATACTTTCTAGCAGGTGGAGATGTTGCTTTTCCCACAGCTGCCTGGTCTGTAAGGCTGACACAGTGTGCTTCCCCTGTGTGGTGGGGGCGCATTGCCCCCACATTTCCAGCAAGAACAAAGTAAGACTGAGATAGATGCTGTGAAGTTCAGATGATACTTTCGATGATAATTTTACCATGCAGTTAACGGAGTTTAATAGAGCATAAATGCAATGGAAAAGGACATATGTTTTATGCAGTATTCTGATAAGTTTTTTGATGTTACATCAATATAATATATAATTACATACTGACATTTAGACATAAGCAAATGTAAAGGAACTTTACTTTGTCTACCCAATGTAATTTGCATTTGGTTAAAGGTATGAACTGATAATAAGCATACATGAAGCTTCAAGAGAGACTTGAAGGCCTGACTCAGCCAAACTTCACAGAATCACAGAATTGTAGGGGTTGGAAGGGACCTTCAGAGATCATCCAGTCCAACACACTGCTGGCTCACAGCCAACCTGTTGTCCACCAGGACACCCAGGTCCCTCTCTGCAGAGCTCCTCTCTTGCACAAGCAAGGCCATAAACGAAGCAGGTGCTGAGTGACTCAGAACTGTCGGTCATAGCTAGTGAAAGATTTTGTGGGTTATTTCTCCTTGCTAACCAACAGAAAAAGAGCCTTCAAAAATTCAGAAGACGTGGATTTCCCTTTTGTCTGCTCCCTGTTGTGGCTTTTGTGGTGCCCAGCACTCCAGTACTTAGCACTTCAAAGAAAGAAACCCATAATGTTGCAGCAGAAAGTGCAATACCTCAGGGGAAAAAATCTCATCTCCAGGCCATTTTCTTCTACTCTGAAACATGAAATATGATTGCCCTTGCTCTATTTCAGTGCTCGAAATTTGGCAAGAGTCCTATAAAAGTAAAGCATCGTTTTCTTTTTTGGAGTCTTGAAAGCAGACTTATGGGTACCATGTGAAGGGTTAGCTGCACAACTGGTATTAACATTAATGAGAGACATGGGTGTAACTTCCATGCTGCGGTTAGAAAATGTTTCTCTAAGTGACATTATTCAGCTTTTTATTTAAAGTATGTATCTCATCATTTGCCTAAGAGAAGTATGCACCACGCATCGATCACAAATATTTGAATGGTAAGACCAGCAAGTAAGTTATTTGGACATGTTTTTAAACCATACTGAGACTACTTCACACCAGTAAGTGAAGGGAAAGGGGTTTGAAGTGCAGGTACCTTTAGAACCTATACTTACATAGATAATTCTGTTCTCATTGTTTCAAAATAGCGTACGGAAATCATTTGAAATCCTTCTTTTTTATTGGTACCTTCCTAACACAGCTTACTAAGTAACTGTCCAGCTTCAGTCCAGGCATTCCTTTCAGTCTGGGGAAAAAAAAAAGATGGCATGTGGATGTGAATGGCATATGGATGTGAATGATTTAAAAATGAGATGCTTTCATCTCTTGAAACATTTCAAGTGTCTTGAAAAATAGATTACAATACTAAAAAAATCAAGATTTGAAAATGTTTAAAATAAGTTGGTTTTCTCCATACTTGAATTACTCTGCAGAACTTGCTGAGGCCCCAAACTCCTTAAAGCAATTGCATTGTAATTTCTTACCCATATAACTTCAAATGAAATTCCATTTTCACTTTGCATGTGTCAGTCAAACATTAATCTGTATTTTCAACAGAAAGAACTAGAACAACTGTTGCAAGAAGCACAAGGATATGTAAACATTTCAGTCTGCTTTTTCTTTTAATTTAAGTAAAAAATTTCACCAAGAGCACGTCAAAATACCCATTTCAACATCTCTATTCAGCTCTAGTTGTATTTTAAACACTTTTAAAGAGTAAGCTCAACAATGCAAAACCAAAATTCTGTACTTCTTTAATTCGCATTTTCTGAGTGTTCCTTTTCCCACATAAAGATTGCAACAGAAGTCACTCTTCTCATGCAATCTTAGAAGCCACATCTTTTATTTTTAATAATTTTTTCTACAGACAGTATGTTTTATAAATATACCTTCTCCCAAGACTTCAAAAGTGGAATAAATCAGATAAGAAGGCTATACTGAAAGTTGTAGGTTAATAATCACAGTGGATTGGAACTTGGAAAATCAAGATTTACGGTGGCTTCAGTTCAGACTTTGATCTGACTATTAGAGCAGGCTGGATATGCTTAGACTTTTCCTTGTGTCCTTAAATGTACAGCAGGAGGTGTGGCAAGGACAGGCTCCTAAGGTACAGTACAACAAATGTTAGGTGCTTAAAGATCAGAGATATGGTGGCTAGAGTGAAGGTCTGACATTTTGTCAGTTTGATTTTAATACCTGGAACATCTGTGGCATCATCAAACAGCCTATGATTTAGCTAAAACATCATAAAGATATTCAGTGTCATAAAAGTAGCATTTTATTTAACCTTCCTGTAACAACTTTAAGAACAGTAATCTGTTAGAGTAGGCTGCATGTCTGGCACATGATAGTGGATGAGAATGAGTAATCAAATCTTAAATATGTATTTGTAGCAATATTGCTTCAAAGTTTTTGCAAATATTGCTAAAAAGTGTGTGATGGAAAGAAATAAAAAGAGCTACAGCAAGCAAAATAAAAATTCACTGTCCTTAACTGGGAGATGGGAGAATAGTTTCTCAGTACATCAACACGGTTTTTATTTATTGTTTTGTGTCACTTTATGCCAGTTCCATGATGGCTTTTCCCCTCTCCCTGCCACATGCAATGGACATAAATGATGTATTTCCACAAAGAAAAACATTCTGAGCTGGTTACTGGACTCTCTCTTCTTTGTAACTCTTATTAGAGACCTCAGTCTGACACTCAGCACACTGTGCCTGAGAGAAGTCCCAAGATGCAGGTGCACAGCACATCCAGATGCTTGACCAGGGACCAGGCATCGGGATCCTGCTATTAGCCAGGCCCACCTGAGTTGCCTCGGGAAGGGAAGAGGCATTTCCTTTCATTGTTCCATTGTTCTTTCTCTTGTGCTCAGCTTTCCAGGCATGTCTTGATCTGTGTTGTCCTAAGGCAGTACACACATTGATCACTTTCAATTCTGCCAGAGTCTGTGCTAAGCCTTGACAATTGCAAATAAGAGTACATTGCTGTTTCTTGTCCCCCTAACAAAGTAGTTGCTCCCACCTTAAATCCCATCCTAACTTGCAAGAAAACCAGCAGGCTGGGATTAAAACATGTGAGGGGTGACAGATGATGAACAAATGAGATCACTGGATGTATCAGAGAGGGGTTTCCAAGAAAGAAAGGGAATTATGGACATCAGAGGAGGCAATGAGGCTCTTTTACAAAGACAGGCTGAGGGAAATGGGCTTGTTTAGGTGGGAGAAGAGAAAGCTCCAGGGAGACTTCATTGGGGCCTTCCAGTACTTAAAAGGAGCTTATAATCAGGAGGGACACCAACTGTTTATATAGTCTTACAGTGATAGGACAAGAGGGATTGGTTTTAAACTCAAAGGGGAGATACAGATTAGATGTTAGGGTGGAAATTTTTCACTCAGAGCATAGGGAGGCATAGGAACAGGCTGCCCAGACAAGAAGTGGATGCCCCATTGCTGGAGGAATTCAGTGTCAGGCTGGATGGGGCCCTGGGTGGATTGATCTGGTGGGTGGCAACCCTGCCCATGGCAAGGGCGTGAAACTGGATGGGCTGTAAGATCCCTTCCAATTCACATCATTCTGTGATTCTGATTCAACCAGGAATACAGAACACATCTGACAGACAAAGTTCTGCAGAGATTAACTAAAGCACAAGCAAGGTAGGATTGACAGGAAGATAAGGAAATGAAGAGCACATTGTATGAGCTGAGACTAAGATCTTCATTCTTTTACACTGAGAAATAATTCTGTGAGGGCGATGACTTCTTTTTTGTCTACATCTAAGGATAAATACTAGGAGGGAGAAGAGCTCATTAGGGAAATGATAAAACTGATACAGTAAAAAGTTGCTATCATCTGGCCTGAATAATTTGGGGCTGAAAATGAGAAAATATTATTAACTGTCAGAGCAGTAAGACTCTGGGTGCATTTCTGAAAGAAACTATAGAAAGTGAACACTTACTCTCCTAGAAAAGCCAGTTCATGAGCCTGGGGACCCTTAGCCTTTGTTACTTTGCTACTAACATACTTTATGATAATGGTGAGAGAACTAAAATGAAAAATTATGTAAAGGTAAAGTGCTTATTTTTATCTGTAAATATGCATCAGCCTCCATTCACAGATGCATAAAATTAAGGCAAAATCAATTCATGAATCTGAAAGGATTAAGGAGCAAAAAGATCATTAGAAACAGTACCATGTTTTCATTTAGTTACCCCTGTATGGTGCTCAATTTCTTGTTTGTATGTTATCTGCATGTTATGTGTGGTGAAGACAGAACAGCAACTCCTGTGCCATCTCATACCAGTTGACTTTAATAGGGCTGTTTTTAACTTGTCCAGTCTTTTTCAGAACTTCAGATTAGGTCCTTACAATTCTAGGAACCACTGACTGAAATGCTATACAAACACGATCCACTTTTCAAAGTGATGACTGGATTTCTCAGTGACACTTGTAAAAACATACATATCTAAAAACAAGAGGTTTTGCATGTCCTTGGAATAAGAGTGTTGCTCTTTATGACTGCACAAGTCTTGTCTATGTGACAACTTCTGCTGAGGAATTAATGGAGTCCAGTGATGAAGACAGTGTGTTGGGTGGTTACAACAAGTTCTGGCATTCTGCTTTCTTTCCCAGATTCTGCACTGAATTAGTGCTGCAGGCTCTAGTACCTATAGCTACTGTCTATGTAGATCCATCTTCATTTCTGTAAAATGGATTAGTATTTATCAAACACACATTCTATTTCAACACAATGTCATTAGTACTTGTGCAGGAATTTGCACTGCAACAGTACAATGTAATACTGTGTATACACCAAAAGGCAAACATGCACATGTGATAACAGGGAAGAAAACCCATAATGGCCTAGGTTTGGGTTTTAATTAAAAGAAATCCAAAAGAACAATAGTGAAATCAAACCACTTTTTAAAATTTACTGTTAACATATTAATTTAACTAAGAATCCAGAATATTAATAAATAATGCCATAAATAGCAACTACAGAATTAAGCAATTAGTGTGTTCTTTTTACTACGCTATAAGTCCTGATACAGACCCTTTAGCTCTTGCTAATGAGAAAAGCAGACAGTTGCTCCCACAGGCAGTCTGTCAGCTTTCTTCAAGCATTTCGTGAATTTTGGTCAGAGCATCCATGATAGACAGTAGGTGTATCATGGCATATATTGGACTCAGACCAAGGGTGGCCAGGAGTCCAAAATATTGCTTCATGGTTTATCAAACTTAGGCAAAAGAGGAAAGCATGCAGAGTGTATAGAAACATAATTATTTGTCCTTCCAATTGCTTTATATGAACTTTTCTTTCTTTTCCACATTAATTCACTTCATGAGAACAGACATGAGCTGAAGAAAGCCAATTATTTGACAATTTAAAAGGTGTAGGGGGGAGTTGAAACAGTCACTAAATAATAATGGAACTAATGTTGAATGGCATTCAATTAATATTTATAACAAGCAGCAATATTAACAGCAGAATTAACTTATTTTTGTATGTCTGACAGCTCTCTGGTTGATTAAGAACTGCTGATGATATTTTGCATACTTCCCATGCAAATACTGTATTATTTACGGAATATTTTTTAATTGAAGTTTTATTTTGAAATCACTGTTTTCTGTTATAATAAAGCTCTGTAAGTGATCTTATTAAGGATTTGATATTTTTTTTTTCATCTTTTCATGCAAATCTACATTCTACCTAGGCCACTCTGAAAACAATGCCACAGATACAACAGATACAAATAACAATGACACTACTCAATAGAGCAAATTCTCAGCCACAAAACACAATTTTTCAGCATATGCTCTGCCATTAGCTGTACATCTTTTTGCATGAACAAGAGTCTGCATGCTACACTCATAAAAATCTGCACCAGTGGAGGTAATCGACTAGTGTTACATAACTTCTACGATAGTGTCATTTCTAGGAAAATATTGCCCACCCAGTCCATCTTTTGTAGGCCCAAATAGGAAGTCAGAAGGCACCAAATTCGGACTATCTGGTGGCTGCGGTCAAACAGCTCAGCAGAGATTGGCAAATGCACTCCACAGTCTTCAAACTGGTATAGGGTCTGGTGTTACTGCAAGAGAAAAGCTGCCTTCTGTAGAGCAAACAAAGGCAATAACAGAGTCTTTATTTGAGAAATAGCTGCTATAGGAAAAGATACCAAAGAGCAATTAACTCACCCCTCCTGGTAACAGTTTGAAGAAAGTAGCGAGCTGAGGAATGCAGCC